AACCGTGCCAGATTCTGCAACCTAGCCAGCAACAGGAACCTTTAATGTGCGACGATAACCCTTCAAGACCCTTCGAGTCTGTGTCGGCCGATTTCTTTGCAGTTGCAGGGAAGTCCTTCCTCGTCATTGCCGACCGACTGTCTGGATGGCCTGTTGTCGTCCCCTGTGGTAGTGATACAACGGCTACTGCTACCATCCGGAGCTTCAGGCATTACTTCAGAGAAGTTGGTGTTCCCCTCCGCCTCAGGACTGATGGAGGACCCCAGTTCACCAGCCACGAGTTCCGGGACTTCATGGACCGTTGGGGAGTCCGTCATGTCGTGACCTCGCCCCACTACCCCCAGGCGAATGGACACGCTGAAGCCGCAGTCAAGACTGTGAAACACCTGATCCTTAAGGTGTCACCCTCAGGAAATATCGACTGCGAGGACTTCGATCGAGGTTTGTTGGAGTTACGCAACACCCCGAACTTCACCGGACGCTCCCCAGCCCAGGTTCTATACGGACATCATCTCAGGTCTTGTGTTCCTGCCCACCCGAAGTCTTTTTCTCAAGAGTGGCAGGCCAAGACTGAGGAATGTGACCGCCGTGCAGCAGAACGAGCCGCAGATGTCGCTGCTCGGTACGACTGTCATGCCCGCCCCCTTCCCAGGTTGAGTATCGGCCGGCAGATCAGGATTCAAGACCTGGTATCTCACCGCTGGGACAAGGTTGGGGTTGTTATGGGTATTGGCCGGTCCAGGGACTACCAAGTGCGTCTTCCTAGTGGTAGAGTATGGTGGAGGAACCGTCGTTTCCTCCGACCTGTGGAGCTGCCTAGTGTTGACCCCTCCCCAGTTGAGTCCCCTTATGTTGATGTCTCTAAAGTAAATCCATCCCCACCTTGTGTTTCTGCCCCAGTACTCCGCAGGTCCGAGCGACTCAGAAACAAATGGTCCGCTCAAGATGAAACTATGAGCGTATAGGGGGGAGGGAGGTGTATGATATATATGGACACAAAGTAGTACCTTCAGCTGTATATTATTATATTACTCTTATATTACTCTTATTAATTATGTATAGTAAAGTATTACAGAACATGTATTAATTCTATGTAATATTCCATTTATTGTGCACCATGTTATGTATATAAATTATCACATTTATACTTTATGTATTCAGCTTGTGAATGCTGGCATCTGTACAGGCCAGTGCGTAGTAATACATAGATAGATGTAGAGGTAGTTAAGACCGAGTCCTGGTGGCGTGACCACGAGCTCCTGCGTCCTACTGTATTATATCTCCCGTACGAGAATAGAACCTACTTTTAAAGACAACAAGTGTTTGTATATACCCTCAGTAGTATAGAACATTCTTTGGGTATCTGGCAATACGCTAGAAAGAGGATAAAAGTAAAAGTAAAAACACTGTGTAACAGTGACGTGACTGACTGCCAGAGCGGCTGATGAGCCGCAAAAAGTGTGTGTGTGTGTGTATATATATATATATATATATATATATATATATATATATATATATATATATATATATATATATATATATATATATATATATATATATATATTTATATATGCAAATAAATCACTGTAGGTGCGCGTGATCCAGGTATATGCTGATAACCACAAGGAAAAACCGAAGTTCCCAAGCGCTTTTGTGTAATTCATCTTCAGGGGTGAGTCTGTACTCATCCTGAAGAAATTACACGGACCGTGTTTTCTTTTTCCTTAATGGTTAATATATATAGTTATATATATATATATATATATATATATATATATATATATATATATATATATATATATATATATATATATATATATATATATATATATAACAAAGTCTAAGACTGCTTTTAGTATCCTGGTGGTCCAGCGGTTAGCGTTCCCCGGTCACAGTCGTGGGCCGTGGGTTCGAATCCTGGCGGGTTGAGGTGTTGATTGTATATATATATATATATATATTGTAGTGGATTCCTCCCCTACAAGCACCGAACCTTCTCGAATTCCCCAGCCTACGCCTCCAGCGCCGCCCACGGAGCGGGGGTCAACTATCTACCGATACCTAACCCCGCCTTATAAGACCTGACACCGCTGTGACTACACTCTTTTCTACCCAGTGCCACCTTCAAGCAACATCATCTCCTCCGCGCCAGCCTGGCGGCTGCTGCTCCCGCCAGCGAACTTGGCGTCCCTCAGGCCGCGTGTCCTTCCTCTGGGCATCCTCACCACCCAGTTCTCTATACTCAACGCTTATTACCATGCTACCTACCCAGCAACAAGCTGCATTGTACATCCAATACAATATGTGTACAGTGAGCACATTGTGAGTTTCCTTTCTCCATCCCATCCTGAGTGTGAACCAATATCTTATACCTCCACAAATGGTGACCCCCGGAAATTCGTACTCACACAGGATGGAGGAGAAACTGATCACTCTCCCAGTCTTCAAGCAACATGGAAGATTTGCTTATCCACACAGAGGCAGCTCTCATCGGCTCTACAACTACTGTCACTACACCGCAGGTGAGACACTCTAGAGCAGCTCTGCTACTCTAAGCAGACAGCCGCTCTTCTTCCTACCCCAAGCACCACGTCCTACCGACCCCAACACACCCGTCCTGCCTCAGATGCCGCCCCCAGCCCAGCAGTACCCCCTGCCGCTCCTCCTGACGCGGACCCACACACCCCTCTTTTCTCCCCCCAGGTACCCCCTGCTACTGTCGTGGACCCTGCTGCTGTCGTGGACCCTGCTGCTGCCATGCACCCTGCAGCTGTCATGGACTACATCCTTGACCACCGAAGGGTCAAGACGTACCTGGCGCTCCTCTCGGAGCAGCCAGGTCAACTGTTATGTTGGCCCATACCAACTCCCTCCCCTGAACCCTCCTCCCCACCGGAATATCAACAAGTTCACGCCAGAAGTTACTATTTCATTTAGGAAAGAAATGGAACCAGTGTTAAACAGAGGTGAACAGTGGTGAACAGTGCTTAAGTCAGTGAGAACAACTCAACAGTAACAGTGGTACCCAAGTTGACCTTTCACACAGTGAGGTCCCAGGTACCCAGTGATAACGGCCTGTGAGACCCAACTACCAGCGATGTGTTACTCCGTCTACGATAGGAAGGCCTGGAACCACACCTCACTCATATAACACCATCTGTGAGGGAATTACTACACCATGTGAGGCCCCTCATAACACCATATGTGAAGGAGTTACTACACCACGTGAGGCCCTCATAACACCATCTGTGAGGGAATTACTACACCACGTGAGGCCCCTCATAACACCATCTGTGAGAGGAATACACCACGTGAGGCCTCATAACACCATCTGTGAGGGAATTGCTACACCACGTGAGGCCCCTCATAACACCATCTGTGGGACAACTCCACCAGGGGATTACTACACCACGTGAGGCCCCTCATAACACCATCTGTGAGGGAATTACTACACCACGTGAGGCCCCTCATAACACCATCTGTGAGGGAACTACTACGCCACGTGAGGTCCCTCCTAACACCATCTGGGAGGGAGTTACTGCACTACGTTTTTGCTGTTCGGCACCTACATTAATCTGTGTGTTCACTGTGTGTTCCTTTACCTTTCTCTGGTGAAGGCTTTTGTTGGACCACCAATGTGTGTGGTAAGTCATTTGTGTCCAATGTATATTTTCAGCCTTCGGGCTGCAGAACTTTTTCAATAAACCGTTAATTATTATTATTATTATTATTATTAACGTAGCCCCTGCTCCTGACCCAGGCCCACACACCCCAGCAGGTGCATCTGAGGACTCTGTACCTGTCGCGAGTGAAGCACAACATTCATCACCTCCACAGCCCTCCTTCTCCCTCTTTTCTCCCACAGATCTCGTGTAGCTAGACAGAGTTGTCCCCCAAGCGGCCGGCTCATCCACGCCCTCGCCGTTATGTCCCACATGTGACATGCACCGCCGTTCTGCCTCACATGTGGCACGCAACCTTGCCAACCTCCAGCCTACCGCCGCACCCGGAGGGGAAGGGGAGTATTGTGGTGGATTCCTCCCCTACAAGCACCAAACCTTCTCGAATAACCCCAGCCTACGCCTCCAGCGCCGCCCACGGAGCGGGGATCAACTATCTACCGACGCCTACCCCCGCCTTATAAGACCTGACACCGCTGTGACCACCCTCTTTTCTACCCAGTGCCACCTTCAAGCAACATCATCTCCTCCGCGCCAGCCTGGCGGCTGCTGCTCCCGCCAGCGACCTTGGCGTCCCTCAAGCCGCGTGTCCTTCCTCTGGGCATCCTCACCACCCAGCTCTCTCTACTCAACGCTTATTACCATGCTACCTACCCAGCAACAAGCTGCATTGTACATCCAATACAATATGTGTACAGTGAGCACATTGTGAGTTTCCTTTCGCCATCCCATCCTGAGTGTGAACCAATATCTCATACCTCCACAATATATACTGTATATATATATATATATATATATATATATATATATATATATATATATATATATATATATATATATATATATATATATATTTCATGTAAATCCACAATGAAAACGTGGATAAGATAAATCTTGATAAAATCACACGGGAAAATGGAAACAACGGAGTACCTTAGCTTTCGTCTTTATTCAAGACATCTTCAGAGGCAACTGATTTTATCAACACATATATATATATATATATATATATATATATATATATATATATATATATATATATATATATATATATATATATATATATATATATATATATATATATATATATTTATATATATATATATATACCCTTACTCGATTCTCCCTCCAATCTCTTGGTGTTTTCATTTTTTTTTATATGCTTGTGTGTCAGATTAAGAGCATATTTGAAGGTAAAATAATAAATATATAATTTAGTTAAATATAATAAATGTGTATCTGCAAAATTTTAACGTATACATATTTACTTTTATAAACACAGGGTAAGGAACTAAGATTTTAGTTCAAATTCCAGGTGTAAATAAACAGCCGTCGTATATGAACTGTCGCTGGATCTGTCATATAAGTCACATTATTTTCGCCTGAGTAACTGCATCATAAGATCGTAATGACCGAAGCCGATGCATTATTTAAGGTAAGTTGCAAAAGATATCATGTGTAAGAAACATGTAATATTTTTATTGTTACTCGTATTTCATAGTAATAAGAAATGTTAACTTCTCCTCTGACTGCTTACTGATCCCCAATTTTAGCTGACAGTAATACACCAACAGAATTACACAACCAAATAACATCTATAGGTAAAGTTTTTATCTTCAGTTCTGTAGCCTTATTTCGTGATTATTCGGTAAAGGTGTAGTTTAGGGCTAAGACCAGGAGTTTGTTGATTTTCTTTATTTTTGCTATACTTATTAGTTTTGATGATTTTAAGTATATATTAAAAGAAACGACAACTTTGGTAAATTTGCACTTCCACCTCACACTCTGTTAGACAGTAAAAGATATATTTTTCTAGTGTATTTGTGTGTGTTTAGACCAGTGGTTCTTCAAAGTCCCAGGTCACATTCCTCCCCTTGCGATTCCAGATTTCCTCAATTCCTCCCCCATTTTGAATTTTCATCCAGTAATATTTTCACCATTATACTTTTACAGTGGTTATTATTGAAACAATTTGTGAAACTAAATTGCTTTATTAATTGCTATCAAATGAAAAAAGAATTCCTTATTTCAATGGATCATAAAACTTCCATTTGATTTAATGCCTACTTTGGCCTGCGTGCAGAGAAACTAAACTAGAAAACCAAGGAACAAATCCAGTTAGTTTTGCTTGAAGGTCACCACGCTCACAAATGCTGAAACGTCTTCGTTTGATATATACATATACACAGTGTACAAAGTACCTTCTTTCCCCGTTTGGAGTTCCTCCCCAATTCCTCCCCTTGGATTTGAAATTCCTACCCTGGGAGCCAAGTGCCTCCCAGGGGAGGTATATTCGGTCTAAACTTTAGACCGAATATGACCTTCATTTCCGTAGGACATTGGCCGGTTTTTTTTATCAATTTTTTTCTTGGGACCTTTTTCGAAAAAATATAATGGCTATGCGAATAAAAAATACACTAAAACACACTAGAAAACCAAAAACCAAACCTAACCTAACATAACTGAGTCTCACCATATGATGGAATCACCTATTTCTTACCTTCTTGGCCTGGTTCTTGTTCGTCATTGGATTTTGAGATTCTTACACTTACAACACTTTACTGAGGTTGGAAGAACACTATGCGATCGAAAAAATGCTATAGTTTCTTCGTTTTTTCCCAAAAACTCGCAATCAGCTCCATATACAGCTACTCCTCGACTTACGACCATCTGGACATACGACCGCCCCAGTCGTACCAAAATTTTTTCAAATTACGTATTTTCGAGTCCCGACTTTAGTGATTTCGCTGTGTAATGACAAAATTTTCGTTTGTAATTCCCTCTAAAATGGCATGCTTAAAAGTGAGAGTTTTGTGGTGCTCAGAAGAAAAAGAGACACCCATTTTAGATTTTCTATGTATTATTTAAGCATTTTCAACTTACAACCAATTCGACTTACGACCTGGATTTGGGTCCCTAACCCTGTTGTAAGTCGAGGAGCAGCTGTAATTGAAGTGACACCCATCGCAGACTTCCATAGTGGGAAATGAATTTGAATTTGGAATTATAATAATAATAATAATAATAATTAACGGTTTATTGAAAGAGCTTGGCAGCCAGAAGGCTGAAAATATACAGTTACATATTTGGGGAATGGGTTTCGAATTACAAATAATATACAAGTAACATAAGTGACACAAATAAGACATATAATAACTAGATGGGGAAAAGCTCAAACTACAGTTCATTTCAACATAGTGACAGTGCAAGGAGTAGTGTTTACTGGGAGTGAATACACTGGTTTATTACAAGTTATTGATAATTTTTACAATGGTTGGGACTGGGCTGTTCTTATAGCGATCAGTTCGTGCACGTATGGGCTGGATGTGGTTGTGGTGTCGAACAGCAATTCTTGGACTAGGGATCTCAGGTGGTAGTAGGAGCCGGTGTCGAGGATGGTGTAGAAGCTTCTTACCAAATTTGCAGATGAGGTCGTGGTGATGGTCAGTGAGAGTCGAAAGGGTCAGTGTGTTGAGCGCTTCTTGATATGTGGAGTAGGAAGGGGAGAGAATAATCTTGCATGCCCTCTTTTGCACTTTTTCTAGGTGTTTACGTTGTGTGGCATTTAGGGAGGAAGACCAGGTGGGGAGGCATAGTGAGCTTGGGAAGTAAGGAATGTTGTAAACACTGAGGAGCTCGGTGCAGGAACTCCGAGGGACTTGAGTCGTATGGAGGAGGTGGAGACGGGAAACTGAGGATTTGACAACTTCACTGACGTGTGGTTTCCACCTCTAGTTTGTTGTTGTCTGTGACGCCGAGGAGCTTCGTGGAATCTACAACCTGGAGTGTGTTCGGACCTAGAGTAATGGAAGGAGGTGGGACAATGTCGGAGGAGAGGTTGATGTGCATAACCATGGTCTTGGTATGGTTGATGGTGACATGGTTGTTGGTGGCCCAGTTTTGGAGACTGTTCAATAAATCCTGAAGGGCGGTATAGTTGGGAGCAGAATTGTTGACGCTGATCCCAATGGTGGAGTCGTCGACATATTTCCAGTGAGCAGGGGTTTCTCTTAGGGCATCATTGATGAGCATAAGGAAGCAGAGTGGTCCCATCTTGGTGCCTTGGGGGACGCCACAGGTGAGTGACTGAAAGGTGGAGACAGCCCCTCGGAAGCGTACAGCTTGGCGTCGGTCACTGAGGAAGTCTGTAAGCCATGGTATAAGACTTCTCCGAAGCCCGAGGTCAATAGCTTTGTTGATGATTATATTGTGGTCGACTAGGTCGAACGCTTTAGTGAAATCAATGAAGGCGACAGCTACAGACGTTTTTCGTTTCTCGAGATGGCGGTATATGTAATTGAGAAAGCTGACAAGACAGTGAGTGGTGGAGGAAGTTTTCATGTTGCCAAATTGCTGAGGGTCTACGACTCCTGCAATATCAGCATAAGCCCAGTCGAACACAAAACTTTCACAGATAAGGCTGGGTATTGGGGTGATTGCAATAGGTCGTAGCTGATTTAAGGATTGTGGGCTGGTTGACTTGGGCACTGGTGATACATAAGAGGTCTTCCAGTCAGCTGGGCATCTGGCTTGACTGAGAGAAGCATTGATGATGGAGCATAGGGGTTTAGCAAGCTCCGGGGAGAACTCCTTGAAGAGTTTCATTGGTAAGTCAATGGGGGTGGTAGAGCGTTTTAATTTTAGTTTGTCCAGGCGTTTTGCTACTTCAAATTCTTCTACTAAGTCAGTGGGAAGGGGGGCTGGTAGGTAAGCAGGGAGAGTGGTTGTGTCAAGCCGGGGGAGCGTCTGGCATATAGTAGCGAAATGGTTATTTGTTTGCTCAGCTGCGTCAACATTAGTGAGATGGCTAAGGAAGGGGAGGGGGTGTGTCTTATTGTTTAGTCCACAGAGTTCTTTAAGCTTACCATACCATTGACTGATGTTGGTCTGCTTCAGGTGTTGTAATTTGGTTGGGTAGTGGGACTTCTTTGCAGTGCGTATTTCGCGGATGACTCGGTTGCGAAGGGACCTGTAGCGGATGTGGTCATTGAGATGAAAGGCTCTGTCTCTCTGTTGCATAAGTCTTTTGATCCGAGGTGTGATCCAGGGCAAGTCAGCTGGGTGAGATCTGACTGACTTCTCGGGGAAGAAGTGGTGGTGAGCTTCCGTGGTGATGTTGGTATAATTTATCCATTTGGTTTCCACGTCATCCACGCTAAGTACTTCAGTCCAGGGATGGTGAACTATCCACTGCCCGAAGAGGCGCACTGCAGAGTCAGTAATCGGCCTGTAGGTCTTGATGTATGGTCTCTGTACTTGAGTGGGAGTGGCAGCTGGGGACCAGAGCACTGATAAGTGTGTGCTACACCCGATAGGAGGCATTGGTTGAGGTGGTTGGTACTGGTCCGCTAAGTCAGTTAAGATAAGGTCAAGGGTATTTTGACCGTGTGTGGGGAAGGTCACAACTTGTGATAGTGATAGCTGGTCCTGGATATCAGTGGTGTCAATTTCATTAAAATCCCCACATAATACTAACTTGGCACATGGGTACCTAACTCTGAGGTGGTCTGAGGTGGTGATGAGATGATTGATAAGAGTGTCTCTGGTGGGTGAGCGAGGCGGATGGTATGCCACACAGATTATGATGGAAGCAGTGTTGCGCGGGTGGGCCCGTGGCACAACACGTACCCATAATGCTTCCACATCTGCTGGGACTTGGACATCCAGGCGTGACGGGCGTAGGTCATCTTGACAGAAGAGGGCAACGCCCCCTCCGCGTCTATGTGAACGAAGGTGATGAAAGAGTTGATATCCCTCAATATGACACGTTTCAGGCACAATTTGCCAAGCCTCACATATGGCAACGACGCTCGCGGCGGCTGACCTGACTGTAGTTGCCAGCTCGTCGAACTTGTTAGCTAGGGAAGTGACGTTGGATAGCAGTAAAGACGGGAGATCATACCATATCCGTGGAACTTCAGTGTGGTGGTATGGTCTGTCAGGGGTGGGTTTCTCCGGTTTCCTAGTGGAGGTTACGGTTCTAATGGGCTTATGTGTATGACGGCCTTGTCTACGGCTACGCGCGTGGAATATGTTCAGTGACTTGAGTCGCGCGATAACACTGCCATCAGGATAACCGTTCCCACGCTTTAGATGGTACAGAGTGCGTCGGGAGTAAGTGATTGGTGGCCATCTGTTGATATCTGTTGTGGGCGGACGGAAGTGTTTGTCACTGACGGCACTTTGAGGGCCACTGACACTGGTAGACATCTGTTAATATTTGTCAGTCGTAAAGACCGTGGGTCTTTGTCCCTGGTGCTTGGGGTCGCCGACACAGTTTTCACGATATATGTAAACACCGCGGTGGTCCTTGTCACTGGCACTTTAAAGGTGACCGATAAAGTGCCCACTGTCTGACTTTTCCTTGGGGTGCACTATCGAGCACTGTATGATAATCACTTATTGCACTGATGACTTGAATGCTTTGCTGAGAAA